TACTTCAAGCGTGCAGACCCTGAAATGGGACACAGCGACAGACTGGGGGACACAGAACATAGAAACATGAAACGTGAAAAAAGGAGAGTACAGAAACCCAGAATAAACAAAACCACAGAATAATAATAAACTAAAACATAAACACGGAGTCACAGACTCCGGACCATGACACCGATATAGTGTGTGTTTTTAATAAATAAAACTGTTTTTTTTTTTAATATCTTGCTGCATTTTGTATAAGTTCAAACCTAAAAAAAACACTAAAGCTATTCTGTTATACCTGTATGCAAAAAATACACTGCACCCAAAATATTTCATTGTTCAGCAATACTGATCAATCTAATAAACTTAAACCTACGCCATCCTCCGTATTCTGGTATTTTAAAGAGTAAGCAACTAACTAATAGGGTTGCAAACTCCCAGCAAAAAAATAAATAAAATAGGGAACCACCCCCCACCTCATGATGCTTAATCGACGTAATCAACTTTAATTTGATGCAGTGTGAAAAAAATGCACAGAAATCAATTATTTTTCAAGAATAATTAAATAGATTCAACATCTTTCTTCAACAGAATTGCAGACTGCACAGATGGTATCTTCCCAAAGGAAAAAGTATTATAGCTTACTAGGGTATATTAGACTTAATAGTTACTATATACAGTAATGGACTTCTATGCATTTTACATCAGATTAAAATTTGGGTGTAAGATTCAGATAATTATTTATTAAAAGCTAGACATTTTAAATGAGAATAAGAAAGAAAAGTATGTCTTTGTGCCCCCTTTTCCCTGTTCATGCCCTATCTGCCCCCCTGGCTAAACTTTGCTAGATCCGCCCCTGCACAGTTACCAGCCGTCAGCTACGTACAGCTACGTACAGCTGGTGTACAAAGTAATATATATTACTTTGTACACCAGGATCTTTTTTTATAAAAAAAATAAAAATAAAAAATTCTAACAACAGCTTATCGAGCTTAAACGTGCTGCTGTTGTTCAGCTGCTGGTTTTCTCTTTCTGGCGCGAATTGGGCGACAAACAAACAAGAGAGGCGGACACGCGACAGAAAAGCCGATCAGCTGATCATTAATCAGTTTCACTGCTGAAGTAGCAGCAGGAGAGAGAGAAGAGACAGTCGCTCCATATATGGTTGTTAAGCTTAAGGTGGGAATGCTTTACAAACATTCAGATGAACTTACACACTTGCTTTACTTCTCTCTGGGATCACTTCCTCGGAGATGAAATGCCGGGTTGGTAGCAAAGCTCCAAATGCTCAACCAGACCACCGGACAGGTCTCGCAGGCCACAGCCGCTCTATCACGTGATGCATACTGCTCCGACGTGCTACGATTATGAGCCGAGTTATGCCATGTCGCAAGTTTTGTGAGGTGCTTTTTGATATTTAATGGCTGGATTACATTTTTTGTTTCTCTCTGACATCCGATCCAGTAATTTAGGTCAGTATCGGACTGATACCGATAGGTAATATCAGATCGGTCCATCTCTACTCTCAACACACTCAATCAAATGTCAGCAGCTGAAGAGTAAGAGTTTGTTTTATATTCATAGTGACAAATCGGGTAAGACGCTAGCCAGCCAGTTAAGGGGCTTCCAGGCAGGTTGAGAGAAGATCAAATTTAGTCTATATATATATATATAAACAGTTTTTTTGTTCTTTCATGAATTCCAGGGAATTTACATCTGCCAGTAGAGTTAAATTAAAACACCAGTGTCGTCTGGATTGAAGGACGTCTGGAAAGCTCATTGTTAACACAACAGGGGTATGGTCTGATATTACTATGGCCTGGTATTCACAGGATTGGACCCATGGAGTCAACCGATTATTGATGAGAAAATAATCAATGCTAGAATAAGTGTGGTGTACCTGTGAAAAAAAGAGTACTCTCCTCTGTGGGGGTGTAAATAGTGCCAAACATCGGAGACACGACAGTTAGATAAAAAGGTTAACCCGCTACTCTTAAACTGATTTGGCAACATTATCCGGCTCTGACGCTCAGTTTTTACTGTAACCAAAAGTCATGTCTGAAAGTGCAGTAAACTGTACCCG